CGGGAACTACCACATTTACCCCATCGGGTTTGGAATAGTGGATAGCGAAAATGATGAGGCTTGGACATGGTTTTTCAGACAACTATCAGCTGTAGTTCCGGACTCTGAAGAACTAGTATTTGTCTCTGATCGTCACAATTCAATATACGCCGGGATAAGACGGGTTAGACAACAAATCCTTATTATTTCCCGTTAAGTAAGTGGTTCCCCGTAATTTTAAAATTTAAGGGAAAACCCAATAATTTACTGCATATATTTTTGTCTGTGATATAGGTTTACCCAATGGCTCATCACTGCGCCTGTATTCTGCATCTTCAGCGGAACGTTCAGACAATTTTCAAAAAGAAACACCTGATTTACCTGATTGGAAAAGCTGCTAGGACTTATAAGATAGAGGACTTCTATGTCCACTTCAATGAAATCAAGAAGATGGACATTGCATGCGCAGACTATCTTATGCGCGTCGGTCTTGAGCACTGGGCGCGGGCTCACTTCGAGGGAGAAAGGTACAACATCATGACAAGTAACTTAGCCGAGTCACTCAATGCAGCTTTGGCGGAAGCACGAGGATACCCGATTGTTGCTCTTTTGGAGTACATCAGGACCATGATGATGGGTTGGTTCTCTACCAGGCGTGACGCCGCAAACGCAAACACAAACGAGGTAACACCTAAGGTTACCGCAATCCTGGCGCGTAATTTCCAGTTCTCAACGGGATTCAATGTCCGGCATATCATTGAAGAGGAGTATGAAGTTCGCGATAGCTTGGGGATGTTTTACCGTGTTGATCTGAAGAGCAAGAGCTGCTCATGCAAGGAATTTGATAAGCTCCGACTCCCTTGTGTCCACGCACTTGGTGCTGCGCTAAACAGAGCTCATAAGGTGGATGACTTAGTGGCTGTCGAGTACAGCAGCTTTTATTGGAAGAAGGCGTATGAAGGTGGGATAAACCCGGTGAGCATTAACCACCTCGACATAGGTGGATCCGACTCCTTCAAACTGCTGCCGCCAAACACACGCAGGCCTCCAGGAAGGCCGAGGAAGAGCAGGATACTATCCGCAGGAGAAATAAGGGTAAGGAACATTACCAAAAATTATTTTTACCTGTAATTATACTTATTAACGGGAAAGATTATTATTTCCAGCAATCAGGTCGTTCCAAGAGAAAGAGGACTTGCACAAGATGTGGTGGGGTGGATCATAATCGCGCCACTTGTAAAATGCCAATATGAGAAGGAAAGTGATCGTTAGGAAGAGGAGCAACGGATGGTAGGATGGTCTTTTGTAGGTCTGATCTGGGGCGACCTTTTATTTTGCTATGTAGTATGTTAAAAATGTTCCCCAATGCCCTCCCTTGTTGACAAAATATGTGTAGATCGATAAGGGAGGAGAAAAATGTTGCCCTCTAATGTAATATCCGGAACCTGAACTATTTGTATCAGTAATGAAGTTGGGTAACCGGTAAAATGATCTTTAGTCGCTAATATCGTAATGTTTTGCTGAAAACGAAGAGATGATATTATGTGACTTTTGAAAATGAAGACCCAATTTAGTGGAGTGTCTAAACGAGATGTCACTATATATTGAGCAAGTGGAGTGGAACATCAAGGATTGATTAGTTATATCTCTGAAAAAATTATGTTTCCCTGAAAGTATATTTGTTAAGGA